TGGCCACAAATGAAGTCTGGAAATCGAGAAAGATTTCTCACTGAGCAAGACAGAGCAGAGAGAATTTGAAGGGATAAATACAGAGGGGTTTTTTTTGTTTTTAAAGAAGAAATTTCATAATTCTCTTGAAAGGGTTTCTATACGCTGCCTGTGATAGTGGGTGACTAGGTTTACTAAGGAGTGCCAGTTCTTTGTCAGATAAAACATCACCACTGCAGTGATTCAGCTTGGAACACATCCTCAAATATTTGCAATTTATGCAGGGGAGACACAATACAAGAGAGGGCTCCTGCCAAACAGTAACCAATCCTGCCAGGATGACCTAAATCTGTTGCCAAGTCAGATTTACCCTTCAAATTCAAACATGTGAGCTGCATCTGTACCTTCCTCTGCTTGCACCTCCTCTGTTGCTGAGCCTGAAAGGGAGGGTCAGATCCCAGCTTCAGGATAGCAATCGATGCTCCTGCATGAAAGGCGGCTTAATTTTAGCATCGGTAAGATCGAAATGCTAAAGAATTGGCTACTAACTCTGCCTTACGTCTCAGACGTTGTGACAAAACTGAAGTGTTTACACAATCTTTCTAAATGACCAAAGTTTTGTGCTCTAAATATCCACAATGGGAAGCACATAAAAAGCAAACAAATAAGCAAACAGGCATAAAGGCTGTCTCACAAATCTAAATCCCTGAAAGAAATCATTTTCCAGGTAGGTATGACAGAGGTAGAGACTGGATTTATTAAAGCTAGAAGAAAGAGCCTAAGGTTTTTTTGTTTGGGTTTGTTTTTTTTTTATACAGTCCTGTATTTATATTAATGCAACTAATCCAGGACACAGTTTACAAGTTTACATTAATAACTTTGAGAGCAACTTTACAATCTCATAGAAGCCTGTGCTGTGACTCACACCAAACGCACTGACTTAAACAGTCTTTAGTTTAAAGAACTAATTGCTTCGTACCGCAGATGAGTCCCAGCGGGGTGCACGCTACTGCTCAGTTTTCTCAGTGTGTCTTCCTCAGTTGCCACTTTGCTTCACTTAAAAAAAAAAAGAAGTGGGAGTATATTTGCGAAGAGACCTACTCTACCACTGTCTTACAGTCATTTCAAACATTACATTCAGTGTTTTACAGTTAAGACAGGCCAATATATGCGCTACAGTAAGTCATATGTTCTTGCGAACTCGTATTTCTGTACATTAACTTCTATGTACGGATAATAGGAAGTATTTGAAGTTGAGCGCTAGCTTTCTCCTTATTTTAGCAATCAGTTCAGGAAGACACAAACATTTCCACAGCTTTAAGCATTTAAACTAAATTTTATCTTTTGTTAATTACCGAACTGCCCTGCTATAACAGTTTAAGCAGAAGTGTTAAGCGTCCTGCCAAGCAGAGGCCTGACAGGGAGCATATGACAACCATTGCCCTTGTTAGATCCTGGTCAGCAGCAGCTCAAGCAATGGTAGCAGAATGCTTTGCAATGTTTCTCATAGAAGTCCAACTGAATCATGCAATGCATCTGTGAACCTGTACCATGCCTTCCTAGAAGGCCTGTAAAATTTCTCCAGCCTACCTCACTGCTTAGGCTGAGAGCCGCAAGTGTGTCTCTTAACTGCCCCTGTCTCAAGAGGGAGGCAGAAACAGCAAAACCGTATCAACCCCCAAAGCAGCCCCCTTTCCAAACAACCAAAACCAACAAGCCACTCGAGGAAACAAAAGCAAATACCATCTCTCCTTGCAAAAGCCCTTTCAAAGCACTGCAGCAGGTCCTCCTCTGCAGAGGAAGGCTGCAACATACCAACAGTGTCAGAAGCAGAGTCTGCGAGTGTCCACCTCTCTCCTCCTGGTTCAGAGGCAAGGCACTTCCGGACAACTAGCCACATCTCCTACCACGAACAGGGAGGAACGCATGATGCCCTGACCTTTCGGCTGGGTGGGCAGCAGGAAGGGTACTCGTTTGGTATATAGAACAGGATTCAGCTCTCTGTAGCAGAGAGACAGGTACGTGAGACTTTTTTCCAGGTAAGTTATCTTGATACACTTCCTTTTTCCCT